AGGAGGAGGAGGAGGGGGAGGTAAAGGAAAGGGAGGGGAGGAGGAGAGAAGACAGGAAGGGAAGAGAGGAGAGGAAGAGAGTTAGAGAGACCCCAGTTCTGTAGTGACCTTTGAGGGCTAAGGGCTTCCACTAGACCCTAGCTCTTGAAAGCCCACCCTAGGGGCCCAGCCTTTGCATTTGGACCTTTGGGGGATACCCACCCTTGTGCCAGGGTGGCTTTAGGACCAGCAGGGGTGGTCCTGTCCTACTGCAGCAGCAGGCCAGGGCTGCTCAATGTCTGGAGTGGTTCCTGTGCATCGCCCACTAAGGGGAAGCCCATTGTCAAGTTCCCAGAGGATCACTCTCAGAAAATTTGGGAAGGAAAAGGTCTTTCTTTTCAGCTCCTAAGTCTTCTTCTAGGAGTTTAAGTTTTCTTCTAGGTTTGTATTACTCATTACTCATTACAGTGGAGCTGGGGTGGGGGTGGTCATTGACATGATTCCTGGTCCTTGCCCACTACAGAGATCCAGAGCTTCACAAGTGCAGAGAAGGATGGCCGAATTGTCGGGGAAATTGCTTTCCAGCTGGACCGGCGCATCCTGGCCTACGTGTTCCCAGGTGTGACGCGGCTCTATGGCTTCACTGTATCCAACATTCCCGAGAAGATCAAGCAGGTGTGTCTTGATGATGCCCCAGGGAAGGCAGGCATTCGAGGAGGGCTCTGGGCTCTGTGTGTCCACACTTGAGGCCAGCAGGCCCAGCAGCCCATCCCTTTGAGATGCTGGGGTGGGTGGCCTGCAGCTCCATCTTACCTCTAGTGGCCCAGGTGGCCCTGCAGGGAGTCTGACTGCCCTGATGTGGCCCCTCATGTATCCATCTGGCCAGACCTCCATCAAGTCTCTGGATGGCTCAGTGGATGAGAAAAAGCTGCGTGAACTGACCCACCGCTACCTCACACTGACGGCACGGCTGGAGAAGTTGGGCTACAGCCGTGAGGTGCACCCAGTGTTCAGCGAGTTCCTCATCAACACATATGGCATCCTCAAACAGCGGCCTGACTTGCGAGCCAACCCGCTACACAGCAGCCCAGCCGCACTGCGCAAGCTGGTCATAGACATTGTGCCACCCAAATTCCTGGGCGACTCCCTGCTGCTGCTGAACTGTCTGTGTGAGCTCGCCAAGGAAGACAGCAAGCCACTCTTCGCCTGGTGAGCTGAGGCCTCGCCCCTCCTGCAATAAACATGTTTGTTACAAACTGGGGGCCACTGTGCCTCCTGCGCTCGTCCCTCCTGGGGAGGCTGAGCTGCCATGGAATGGCAGTGGTGGGAGAGCCCCCTGCAGCTGAGCTCGCCCTGAGCATAGCAGCCCCACCGCCTGAGCTGGGGGACCATTGCCTCATTAAAGCTTGTTTACCTGTCTGCCTCACCTTTGGCTCTTTGAAGGGGTGGAGAGTGCTTGGGCTCTGCTGGCAATAGTAGCTGCCCCTAAGCAGATGTGGAAAGAGCCTGTAGAGCCGAAGTGTGTAGCACCCTTGGAAGTCTCAATGCCTGCTTTGAAAGAGCCAGCAAGTCCTGCCCTTTTAGGGTTCCCTAAAGGTAGAGCCAAAGCAAGGGTTTAGGCATAGACATAGGGCTGGTGCAGAATGGAAACACATACGCTTGGTCAAAAGTTTGGAATTCCAGTATCAACAGCCAGGCCTCAGTTCCTGTGATGGCATGTGCTTGACTCTGGGCAGGCCACTTCTCCAGAACAGGAATCAGGGAAGCAGCATTGTAGAAAGGGGGCCGGTCCACCTTGGGGACCAGGGGACCTGGGGGTAGGAGTTGGGGTTTGCCGATTGGTCCCCACTGTACTGTCACACCTCTGTGTGAGTACATCTGAGTCTGGCCACCCCACTATGTACCCCACTGTCCTCTGAGCACCTGTCCTCTGAGTATCTGTCTCATTCACGAATGGCTCAGGACCAGAATCCTGAGCAGATTCCTCCTGGAAGAAGCTCAGGCTCCTAGGAGAACAGGTGGAGTCCTAGGTAGGTTCCAGTGCCCAGGAATGGAGGGGATGATTAACTGCAGTTGCTTGAGTTCCTCGGAGGTCTCAGGTCAGCACTGTGGGTGACATTGCCCTTTGGTGGTCACTGTTCATGTGGGCAAAGCAGCTGAGTACTGAAGGTTAGCATGTCAAATTGGGCTTGCAGGGAACCATGTAGTGGGAGAAGCCGCAAGATGAGCTGACCACATCCACATGGGGGCTCACCAGGAGCCAAGTGGGAGGGGAGGCTGGGCTGTGAGGGTGACCACAGTCACAGTAGAGCTGCAGCAGGAGTTATGGGAAGGAGTGTGACCATGTTCACACCAGAATACACCAAGAGCCATGTCACTAAGAAGCCAGGCAGTGAGGATGACTTTGTCCATGTGAAGCTGCACAGGAGCAAGTCATGTGACCTATGCAGTTGGGCCATGAGGGTGACCACATCCACAGTAGGGCTATACCAGTAGCCATAAGGGTGGAGAAAAGGGCAAGGCGGGTGACCATGTCCAAATGTGTTGAACCAGAAACTCTGAAAGTAGTGAAGTTAGTTAATGATGGTGACCATATTGCCATGGGACAATCGTGGGACCCATGCTGTTGGAGAATGTAGTGAGGCGATCACGCCCACAGGTGCTGTGGGGGTGGAGAAGCTGGGCAGTCAGAGTGACCGAGTCTACACGTGGCTGCACACAAGACACTGGTGAAGAAAAGGGCGAGCACTTCTACACAGGCCTGCAGTGGAGCCATGCAGGTGAAGAAGTAGGGCAGTGAGGGAGACCATGTTTTCAGGTAGCTTCACCAGGAGCCATGTAGTTCAAGAAGAAATTGAGGGTGACCATGTCCACAGGGGCTGCACCAGGAGCCCTTTTGGTGGAGAAGATGGGCAGTGCGGGCTGACACCTCTGTATGTGGCTTCACAAGGAGCTCCTGATGGGTACTGAGAGATTTCCTGCATTAATTCTTGTTAGAAGAGTGAGAGGAGATGGGGATATTGTGAGGGGACCTGTGGTGACTAAAACAAGCCTGGAAAGTGGAGGGAATCTGGCTGGGTCCCAGTAGCATCCTGCTTTGTAGATGGGGTGGGGGCACAGGTGGGGCCTGGTTTGTCGGCAGCCCCAGCCTGTCTAAGCTCTACCTGCTAAACAGGTTGGTGGACTTGTTTGGAGATTGGTCTGTTCTCATTTATTTACTGAGCCTACCATTTCTTCCTGGACTCAAGGGTGTTTGTTTACATTTGAATTGTTGTCCAGTGGTATTCATCTCTGCACTCAGATGGCCCTGGCTTTGAGGTGCCTTCTGTGTTCTCCTGTGTCCAGTGATTGCCTCATTACTATAAAGTCTGATTGTTGGGGTTTTCCAACCACCTCTGGACCTCCTGGTCAAGAGCTGTGGGTTCATCTTAGGTCCTCCTGACTTCCTAGGTTGGGAGCTCTGATCCCTTGGACCCAGAAAAAGTTAAAGCATCAGAGTCTGGTTACCAGTTCCATTGTTTTTCCTAAGCAGTAGGGGCACTAAAGCTTCTATTCAGGAGCAATTGATAGCACTCACCAGTTTGCTTGGTTTCAGAACTGTCCCAAGAACCAGGGCTGGTGTCATGCTGCCTCTCTCCATTGTATGTCTGGTGTTCCCAGCCTTAGCCTAGGCCAGACCCCACGGGGAATGCAGCCCAACTCCTGCTGGGGCCTCCTGACTGCTGCTGTCCTTCCACTATGGGTGCAAGAATGGAGTCATGGGGCTTCTGGTCAACCCTGGTGTGAGAATCTTTCCTATCCCCACTACAGGATATGTTCTGGAAACCCAGTACCATAGGATCCTGGGTTAGGCAGCTCAGCTGCCTTCACTAAAACCACAGCCTGAGGGCTCGGGCAACACGTATTTACCATCACATGTCCTGCGGACTGCTGGTCTGAGGCCACAGTGTTGTAGGGCTGGTTCCTCCAGAGGGTCTCTCTCCTCTCCTTGGCTGGAAAACAGCATCTTCTCCATGTGTCTCTGTATAGGTATCCTTGCTGTAGGGCTTGTGTCCTGGCTTCTTAAAGGAAACAGGTGTGTTGGATTAGGGCCCGACCTAGAGAGCTCATTTTAATTGAAAGAGTTCTTATTTTTTTTATTTTTTATTTTTTTTACTGAGAAAAAAGTATATATTTAGAATTAGCCAGCTGGACTCAGTTTAGATGATCCTAATTTTGTTGGCAACATGCAGTTCATCGTAATCAGGAGCCAGTCGAACATATGCCTTCTTCTCTCCATCAGGCCTGATTAGGGTATTGACCTTGGCAACATCGATGTCATAAAGCTTCTTTACAGCCTGTTTGATTT